CAGAATTTCTAAGGCTAGCCAATGTTTGGGGATATTATGTCTCTTTGCTAATGGAAATGGCTTAACATGGGGGCGGGGGGGGGGGATAGATTAGTAACTGAATGCATCCATGAATGTCTCATATGTGATTGACTCTCTGCCTGATCTGCAAATCCAGATCTGCATACCCATAAATCACCATGAGTTTAATTCAATAAGCCATGATTAACTTAAACCTGGCTTATCACAATGTATGAACTAATTAATATACATGAATAAGAATGGGTTTTTCTATAACAAGCCTGTCAAACTGGCGGCCTGCAGGCCAGATACGGCCTGTGCAGGCCAAGCCCACTCCAGTTCTGTAAAGGCAAAAAAACATCACAATATGTCACGATATGGCCCATGATAGGTTTGACACCCTTGCTCTATAATATACCCTTGTTTAGTCATAAATGTATATTTATATCTAGCAGTTTCCCCATTTATCACTATTGTCATATGAGTGGCTCGGTGCCAAAAATTGACTTGATTGATTATGAGTCATTATTATGAAGTTGTAGTCAACTCTTAGTGACCACATATGATAAATTGCCTGCATAATGATTTGTCCCTAACTTCATCTTTCAGGTCTTCTCAATCATTTTATATTTTCTAATCATGTGGTTTTGTTGATAAAAAAACAGGAACAATTTACCATTGACTCTCCTACACAGTATGAATTGATATCTTTGCCATTGTCTGTAAAGTAAAAAGTTCATTGAAGATTAGCTAGTCATGAACTACAGTGTACCCCACATGATATGAATGCAACAGGGATGACTATCTCTCTATGGTGCATAAGTGCAACAACGTGCCTACCGTCCTGTCCTACTGTCCCCATTTATTTGTACTCATTTCCTTTGTTCATGTTTATGTTTATACAGTACTTATACCTGTTATCTTGTACATGTTTCACAAACTAAATACATAAAAATGTTAGCATAAATGTTATACTGTAAAGGGTGCTGGAAAAAAAACCAAGTACCTCTATTGTCCCAGTGTCAAGCTCAAAGAACTGAGTGTCACTAGTTGGAAATTGATAGGATCGTGGTTGCAATGACTGTTGTAACATTCTTTTTCTGGAGATATGTAGCATGCCAGTATGGAAACATTTTAATGGATTGGCCTTCAGGGTCTTATTTGAATTCATGTTCCTGATGCCTGGCCTGTTATAGGAGGAGGTCTGCTTGACAATGGCAACAGAAGATTCTTTGTCGTCACCTGGCTTGGATCGGGTAGCTGGTGAGAAGTTCCTGCAGGAAGCCTTCCAGATCATGCTTGAAGAAGGGATTCAAAAAGGGATGGATGTCTCTGAAAAGGTAAGGTATATTGATTTTCATTCTAAGTTTCCTTCAGCTGGGATCAGAGGTAGTGTTCAGCCAGTTCTGACAGGTTCTGGAGAACCAGTAGTGTACATTTTGAGTAGTTTGGAGAACTGGCAAATAGGCTGGCCCCGCCTCGGCTGCCTCCCAGCTGATTTTCTTTTGTTGCCCTGAACAGGAGAAAGGAGCTGGAAAGCAGGCTAGTGGGGTAGGGAGGGAATAGGGATGTTGCAGTAACCTTCCCCCACAAGTGGGGATTTTGCAGTATCCTTCCTCTGCCACGCCGACAAAGCCACGCCCACAGAACCAATAGTATTTTTTTTTAATCCCATCACTGGCTGGGATGTCCACTCTATATACTTTAAGCAATGGCTTGGGCCAGGTACCCAAACTGAATTTTACTTGCAAGCTAACAAAATAGTCCCTCAGCAGAAAAATCACCAATTCCTAATCCCAAATGATTTGCATTGAGTAAATTGGATATAATCCACTCTTTTCTCAATTTTTCTAGTTCCCCTCCCAACATCCAGTTTATTACTATATTTAATATATAGTAGGGCAACATTTCCCCACCCAATGTCTCCAAGAAGCATTGAAACTATAAGTCCCAGTCTCTTAGCCAATCAGGAATGCTGGCTAAAAATTTCAGGGATTAATCGTCATAAGACATAGGGAGGGCTCTAGCTTTAGATATTTAACTTCAATTTCTGACAATGTAACAGGCAGCAGAACTTGGACTTTTGCTGATATATAGAATTTTATGCCAACCCCTTGTCATCCAGGAGGCATAACCTGGATATAGGATTGCAACTGTTAGATTTTCAACTTGTATACAACCTTCTATGGCTTTTCGGACATGAGCTGACTATCTTGTTGGTAGGTGTGTATTTGGAAGGAACCTGAGGAACTGCAGCAAATTCTGGACCTGAATCTAAAAGACAATGGAGAGCCACATGAAAAGTTGCTGGAACGCTGTCGGGATGTTATCAAATACAGCGTGAAAACATGTGAGTGTTCTGCACGGCAAGAGTTAAGAGACTATGGTTCCTTCTTCAGAACTTCTTAGGAGATATAGGATTGTTCCAATCCAGTTATTGAGATTGATTTGTCTATCCTGGCATCTTGAGTTAGTTAATCCCCCAGTTTACTATACTTTAGATGGTCTTTTTAAAAATAATGAGTGTGTGATTGATTATGTGCCATAAAGTTAGTGCTCTTAGGAACATAAATAGATTTTCTCCCTGATGATTTAGTCCTTCAGATCTTCCAATCGTGTACCCATTGCTACTATAATTGAGTCCACTCGCCTTGCTTCTTGTTATTTTCTTCTTTTTCCCAGCATTTTAGACTTCTCCAGAGAGCTAGGTACAGTATACACGCAATGTATCCAAGTAGGATAATTTGAACCTGGTAAATTGGGTTGAAATGTAACGTGTACCAAGAGACTAAATTTCAAGTTGAGGCAAAAAGACCTAAATACTTAGGATTTTATATGATTCTTTTCAAACTATAGTTACTTTCTTAAGGGTAAGGGCAAATGAATTTAAAATAGTTCTTGTACAATTATTGGAAGGTGACTGAAATGTAAACAAATAGCTGGGATTCAGAAAAGTGCTAAGGAATTTATAGTCCCAGTAATACAAATGAGCCTTTAATAAATGCTCATGTTGCAACAATAATCACATCAATACCTATAATGGCAAAGAAAATAAGAAGTACCGTATTTTTCGGAGTATAAGAGGCACCGGAGTATAAGATGCAGCAAGGTTTTCAAGAGGAAAATTTTAAAAAAAGTTTTGGGACTCTGCAAACCTCCCCAAAACGGCCCATTATTTGCGAAAATGGGCCTGGTCCCCCCCCCCCCAAAAGGCATGAATAGCCTTTAGGGAGCTTGCAGAGTGCTCCGGGGGGGGGGGGGGAGGGGGGGAAATGAGCAAAAACCGGCCCGTTTTTTTGTGAAAAGGGCATGGATAGCCTTTAGGAAGTTTATAGAGTGCTCCTGGGGGCTGGAGGGGCAAAATTGAGTAGAAAAAAGAGACGTCTTTTGCTCATTTCTGTCCTCCCCAGCCCCCAGGAGCTCTCTAAAAGCTTCCTAGAGGCTGTGCATGGCCATTTTGGTGTAGGGGGCGGGGTTTTGGGAGGAAAAAAAATGCTGTATTCAGTGTATAAGACGCACCCAGATTTTCAGCCTCTATTTTGAGGGAAAAAGGTGCGTCTTATACTTCAAAAAATATGTTACTTCAGGGGTGGGTTCCAGCAGTCACTACTGCTGGTTTGGTTGTGGGCGCTGCGCACATGCTTGATGTGCATGCCTGATGCGTGCATGTGTGTTTGATGTGCATGCTTGATGCATGCATGTGTGCTTGATGTGCATGCTTGATGTGTGCATGTGTGCTTGATGTGCACGCTTGATGCTTATACTTGCAATAAAAATTGTTCTGGGCATGTGCAGAAGGAAAAAACAAGATGAGAGGAGAACCAGTTCGGGAGCGTGGCAGGCTTCGGTCACTGCCGGTTCCAGCAACTCAGGTCGCCAAATCACTACCGGTTCGGCCAAACCAGTAGGAACCCACCACTGAAGTACTTCCATAGAGACTATTTCCTTTTGCACAATTTCCTTTCCTCTTGATATGCAAGGCTGCAAGCCTCAGTCTTTCCCCATGAAAGTGGATTCTGTTCAGTAAAAATGATGGGAGTTCGATGGCTGATCCGAAGGAATGCAGCAGGTGTCTCTTTTTCTTCCAGGTCATCCACGCTTCTGCAATCAGCTATTTTCTGGGCTTGATCCCCATGCTCTGGCTGGACGGATGATCACAGAGATGCTCAACACTAGTCAGTATGTGCTCTCCATTTTCTTATATATTTAAACAAACAAACAAACAGACAAAAAGGAAAATAATTCCCAAGACTCAGCTATAGCACAGGTGAATTTCACTGCTGCTTTTTTGGACTAGAGATTGTAATTTTTACAAGTGCGTGACCACTAGAAAGCAGTTTGAAGAAAATTCTTTGCTTTTTATGATGTACTTTATCTACAAATTCTGTTAACATCCTTCACTGTTGCAGTATCGGATAAGTTTCTCAAGGTTTTGAAACAATCCAAACTTGCAGAGGATTTTTTTTTGCAGAGGATCATATTCCTATGAGCAACACTAATGTATTGTGATATAAGAATAATATACTATAAATAATCTTTCTCTCCGATTCAGGGAGATTAATAGAGTGGATTCCTCCATTTGTGAAACATTTGCTCTATGGCAACTGACTAGCATCTCCCTAGTAAATGGATAGTGAGTGGGGGAGGGGGAAAGTAATTTGATATCACTATATTAACATTTATCCCCATGGCAAACAGTAAATTAAGTGTTATATATTGTTTTTCCTCTTCCTTTCATCCTCATGACCATTCTATATAATAATTTTAGCTCAGATAAATATTCTGTTCATACATAAAGCTAAGCTAAAATGGGACTTCTTTGCTTGAAGTTTAGTGTGATGTACAGTAGTTGTGCTTGCTTAAAAATGTTAAAACCAATCTTGGTTTAATGTGAATCAGGCCAGTGATTGGACCAAAATCAGCCAATGAATGTAGTGGCTGAATGCAGACTTCTTACATCTTGAACCATCATTACATTTTATCTCTGCAAGTGAATAAATATTAATATGAAGACACCATCATACTCAAGAGATACGTATTGGTACGATGACTCTATTTGGAACCGAGATCCCTTTCTGAGCTATAGATTTATCTGCACTCCTCCCAGTAGTTGAATTCTCATAAGGTCCATGTCTGCTAACTTTCTTCCTCCTATGTTGCTCATTTGCTATGGCTTCTGTTGTTGCTAGGTTTTTGAGTTACCTGCGTGAAGGCCGCATAAATCTGGATGACTACTAGTCACGGCAACAAAGAGATATTGAAAAGTCTCCTTGCTGCCCTGTAGCAATTGTCCATATTTTTGAAGTCCAGATATGTTAGTCCTGCTCCATACAATCAGATGTGTTGGCTGTATGGAGCAAGAGACCGGTGACAAGGGGAAAAGAATGGGAGTCTGCTTCCCTTGATTTTATCCCTGCAAAGATTTATATTTATTTACAGATTTACTTCATTTGTATACTGCCTATTAGTGAAGACTATAGGCCAGGGGTCAGCAGCCCACGGTTCTGGAGCCGCATGTGGCTCTTTCATCCCTCTGCTGTGGCTCCCTCTTGCACAAATATGCATCACAACTGCCAATGTTGATAACCACCAGCATATGATTTATTGAGCTTTTCAACCCCTGATAGGCCAACCATGGATAAATCCAAGAAAAGAAAAGTTTCAGAAGAAACCAGAATGTGTAATTCAACTACATATGTTAGTTTTGTGGCTGCTCGGGAAATAGTCAGGCATGGGAAGGGTTTTGTGGCTCCCAGTGTTTTCTTTTCTGTGGGGAAATGAATCCAAATGGCTCTTTGAGTGTTTAAGGTTGCGAACCCCTGCTATAAGCAATTAACAATAACATCATTAGATTAAAAACTTCTATAAGGAAAAAAATAGTAAAGAAAAAGACACACACACACAAAAAAAGAAAACTACTGCACTTTCAAATTTGTCTAAGTATCTTCTCCTCCTAGGTTAGATGGGGCAGATAAGTCTTGGCAATTTTACTAAAGACCAGAGCAGCAGAGCATGCTAGCCACTCTCACTCCTAATCTAAACCAACACCTTCATTGCCCTCCGATAATTTGCTGGCTATTTTGGTTGTTTCTCAGCCGAGACTCATAAGACCACTTGTGTTTTAGATACACGTATGAGATTGCACCTGTGTTTGTCTTGATGGAGGAGGTGGTGCTGAAGAAGCTGCGAAAGTTGGTTGGCTGGGAAAAAGGTGATGGACTCTTCTCCCCTGGTATGTAAAACATAGAACCCGTGGATTTTCAGAGGCTTGTGTTTCTTTATAAATGTTTTAGAGTTGACATGCAGCCAATATTTATTAATTTATTTATTAAACAAACGTATATAGCTGCTCAATTCTCACATAGTGACTTTGGGCAGCATAGAACATTAAAAATCTGCAGTTAAAAATTCATACTTCAACTCACACACATAGTGACTTTGGGCGGCATACAACATTAAATATCCACAGTTAAAAATTCATAATTTAACCTCCACTTTACCTTCCACCACCTGGTGGCCGCAACAGAATCAGACAAGCTACTTGACTGGTTTTGAATGAGATACAAGCTCTCTGACAAAAACTATGTCTTCAAGGGCTTTTTGGAAAAGCAACAATATGGGGGTGAATCTCTGAGGGAATATTGGTCCAAAGTGAGGGAGACACCACAGAGAAGGCTCTTAATTCTGGATCATCCAAATGAAACCAATTTCTGCCATTCATTATGTCTGTAACTGACACACTGGGATGTCCGGGAATTACATGCTAACATTAAGATTTGACTTTAAAATTGTAATGAATGGGTCATTGAACAATTCTCTTGTTTTCCTTGGTAGGAGGGTCCATATCCAACATGTATGCCATGAATGTGGCACGGTATCACCGTTTCCCAGACTGCAAGCAGAAGGGGCATTGGGCAATACCAAAGCTGGCAGTGTTTACGTCAGAAGAGGTATTGTTTTCTCCTGTATGCTCTAGAGAACCAACCTGCTTGCTTTTGGTTAACCCAGCCTAATTTGCTTTTAGTTTTGGTGGGAAGTGGAGTTGCCGCCTGAGATTATTCTATTGAAATTTGGCGGCAAAATGTTTTGTTTTGGGGTATAATTAAAACACACCCTCCACTTTAATACCACTTAACATGCTTATTTTGAATAATTCTGCCAAGGTGTTTCCCAGGCCTTTGTGGCTTTCAAAGATCAGTAATGAAAGTGTGACCTGTTGCCTTCAAAACTGGCTTTTCCTAGACTCACTCCTGAGGCAGAGGACCAGCAGTGCCTCAGACAGCAGATATTGTTGTTGGGGATTTGGGAGGCAAGACAATGGTCTCTGGGACAAATGCCCACCCAGTAGTGCTACCTTCAGAGAGAAGGCATTGTCTTATCACTAAAATAAGATTTAGCTGGCTTCTGTATGAGAACCTCTGGGGGGGGGGCATATTGGAGAATAGGGGATGTGTAGTCCTGCACATTTGGAGGGCATCAGGTTGGGTACAACAAAGAGAGACTGAAGCTGGAAGTTGTACATCAGAATTTGGACCAGTCTGACCTGTTAAACAGCAGAGATTTTGGGGAGATCCAGATGGCACCCTCATCATTACTGTAATTGAGTCTTGTTACTGATTGTCCCATTCTTCTGTTTCCTTATTTCTTTTCTGGCATTATAACCTTTCCTAGAACTGCTAGATCTTTGCTTAATGTGTCCAAAGTAGAATAATTTGAACCTGGACATTTGTGCTTTGAGTGAGAATTCTGGGTTATTTTTTTAAAAATGATCCACTGGTTTGTTTTCTTCACTGTCTACGGTATTCTCAGGAGCTTTCTCCAACACCAAAGGTCAAAAGAATCAATATTCTTCCTATCTTGCTTCTTCAAACTCCACTTTTCACTTGCATAGCGAGTTGCAGGGAATTCCAGGGCGTGTACATTTCCGATCTTTTTAGGTATCATTTCCTTCTAAATCAAACTAAATCTAATTTTATTCTGGCTTCATTTAGGTTTGTTTGTTTGTTTATTGGAGTTGAGATCAAACTGCTGAAAAAAGCTGAATATTTTTGTACAACAGTGGAACAGATTTGCCTTGTTAATGGTTTTTGGAAGGGGAGGTGGTGTTTATTTGCTTTTAATTGATTCCAAAGAAAGTTTAATTTATCTCCTCAAAAAAGAAAAAAAATTATTTGCCTTGACCTATTGATGGAAAAAGAGTGCCAGAGATAGGGCCACCTGCCAGAAAATCTTGCTGTTATTCTCTACCGGCCTAAAGAAAATTAATTATTCCCATTTTGCAAATAACAGCTGTGAAACCACCAAATGACCTTCATTTTGAAGCCTTGTATTGCCGTGTATCTTTTGGAAGACCATGATCTTTGCCAGAATTGGTAATCTATTGCTCTAAATTTAGAAAAGATAAGGGGGATAATCCTAGGGAATGCTCTCCCCCCAGAACCAGGGTCAGGATTATGTTGGTTAGGTAGAAATGCAACTTGATATTTCTTTGGGTTGATTTCTAAATGGTTTCATTACTAAACGGCTTCCCAGGACTCACAACAGGGTCCTGGGAGAAGGTTTTTCTTAAAGGAAGTCTTAAATTGCTGACCCTCTTTTTCTGGTTTCTAGTGCCATTACTCCATCCAAAAGGGAGCAGCTTTTTTGGGCATCGGCACGGACAATGTCTACCTTGTAGCAGTGGATGAAAAGTGAGTGTTAATAACTGGAAATCCTTATGAAGTTAGAGAAGATCAAAGGTTGTGTCTTGATGTTATAAGTGGACCATTTAATCTGGATTATCTCCCTAACCATACCCAACACAGATATCAGAACCCTTGTGGAATGCATATCCCATTGTTCAATCCCCCCTCCCCCCCATTTTAGGAACACTTTGCCCCTGCAATGATTATGGTCTAAAAATTACAATCCCTTAATCTGAGCTCTGCGTTTTCAGTTTCATGCCTCCCTAGTTCAACTTGGTAATATCTGTGGAATTGAATATTCTGCTAAGAATATTTATTTTAAATAATTTCGGGTTTTTAGTCCTTAAGATTGCAGAGATTGTGTTCTCCATAGCTATCGTTTCTAAATGGTGCCACAGCTACTCTTTTCCCCCCAAAATAAGACCTCCCTGGATAATAAGGCCAATCGGGCTTTTGAGCGCATGCGCTAAAATAAGCCCTCCCTGAAAATATTGCAAAACAGCAGCAGCCATGAGGTGACCACACTCGCCACATCCTGCACCTCAAAAATAATAAGACCTCTCCGAAAATAAGGCCAAGCATCTATTTCAGGCGGTCAAAAGAAAATTAGACCCTGTCTTATTTTCAGGGAAACATGGTAGTGAGGAGATAGTAAGAACTAAGATTGAAACATCATTTTGTATTTCTTTCAACATATGATAAAACAAAGGTACCTAAGTAAGAGCAGCTAAGCAGATGGCTAATCTTGAATCTGGCAACAGTTTTCATTCTTTATCATGATTGGTCTGCATAAATAGCAGGTTTTATATGAAAGTGTTTCTTCTAGATCAAACGTTCCCCAATCTTTCCAGCTTTGAGCCCCATCGGGTGAGGGAAGGGGTGGTTTGCGCAAACAGCTGGCAAGTGCGTGCATGTGTGTGGAGTTCCATTTCTATGAGTGGTGTTCACTTGTGGCTGCCACTCATGCAAATGGAGCGCACACACGTATGTGCTTGACTGCTGCTCACGCAAGTGAGGAAGCAGATATCTGCACGTTCACTCACCGGCCTTTTCCACAGTTGCAAACCTCTCACGGCCCACAGGTTAGGAACCCCTGTTCTAGATCATATCATTTCAGTGTGCATGAAATGGATTTTGTTATGAGTGGCTTCCTCAAGAGGAAAAATCTTCCTGTGGTTAAAAAAAATAAATCCTAATGCTTCTCACACAACGCTAACATGGAACCCTTCCCTCTGATCTAATTTGCAGTAGAGGTCGGTTTAAAGTTAAAATCCCTTCTATATTACCAAAGTGAAACTCATAGCTTCATTCTGCCGCCTGCTTGGAATAATTTGAAGTCAGTGTGATTTGAGCAAGAGGAACTGGTTGAAAGGACCTGTTGAGGGTCCAGGGCTCAGTCATTTCAATCACTCTTTTCTTCCTCAGAGGGAAAATGATCCCTGCTGATCTAGAGAAAAAGATCAACCAGGCCAAATCAGAGGTATGTTGCCTGTGGGGGTTTTTGAGGGAGGTTACAATTTTCCCTTTGCTCTCACTAAGTTCTCTGTAACAGGATGTTTTCTCTTCCCACATCCAAGCCAGTGATCCTGCTAAAAGAGACACACAATGGGCATAGGGCTGTGATGGCGAACCTATGGCATGCATGCCCAAAGTGGCATGCATAGCCATGTCGCCTGGCATGTGCGGCATCACCTATTCCTCTTCTGGGTTTCTGGTGTGCATGCGCGTGCAACGATCAGCTGGCCTTCATGCTTGTGGCAGTCCCAGAAACTGGTCTTCCATTTTCCAGCATGAGCATGCACGCTGGGTCACCGATTGTTATGCGTGCATGCATGCCAGTAACCAGAAAATTAGCTGGTCGGCATGCATGTATGAGCCGGAAACTAGAAGTTCATTTTCCGGTGTGCGCATGCACCCTGGGCAGCTCCTCTTCCTGGTCGCGCCCAGACAAGCGTGTGCACTCAGTGCCAAAAATGTTCACCATCACTGGCATAGGGGCTTTGCAAACTCTGACTCTTTGTCTGAGGTGTGCAGCAAATGAAGAAACAGTGCGCTAAAGCAGTAGCTTATGATTCCTTTATCAGAGACCTGCATGTGAATGAAATGAAATTCAGGCAGATGTGACCACATGTGTCAGATCCTATTGTCTTGTTGGAAGAAAATGTCCTTCGGGGTTTAGTTCCAAGTGGGGAAAAAGACACTGGAAACATGGAGGCTGCTGTGAAAGATGGTTTAATGGTGGGCAGGACCACATGGCTTGAGCTCCTGAACAGAAGAGGGAGATCACATGCTTCAAGATGTTGGGTGAAGAAGAAAAAGACAGTGAGATGCTGAAAGTCCCTGGTTTTATGCCCTCTCTGCCCTTTGATCTTGATCTTGTATTCTGATTGGTTGTCAGACTCCCATGGGGCACGCTTGATGCTTATACTTGCAATGTAATTTTCCCACATGCCTTGTGGTGAGTTTCTGTAGAAGGCTAATCCTACCTTTGTTATATAGAACAGACTAGCCCAGGCCTTTAATGGTCCATTGACAAAGGTGGGGGCTAGCAAGAGTGAGTCTGTTTCCTGCCTAAAAACACGTTTCTCCATTTCTTGTTCAGGGAAATATAATATTCTGCCTTTGTAATATTTTTCAGAATATGTCATTTTTCTGGAGGGCCGGGGGAGGCCGTTTTTGCCCTTCCCAGGCTTCAGGAAAGCCTCTGGAGCCTGGGGAGGTTGAAAAATGGGCCCAACAGGCCTACTGGAAGTTTGGAAATGATGCGTTTCCGGATCCGTTTCTCCAGACTCTGGAGGCTTGGGGGCCAGGGGAGGTGAAAATGGCCTCCTCTAGCCCCCCAGAGGCCCTCCGGAAGCTGGAAAGGGATTGTTTCCAAACTTCCAGTAGGCCCATTGGGCCTGTCTTTCGCCCCTCCCCAGGCTCCGGAGGCTTTCCGGGAATCTGGGGAGGGCAAAAATGGCCTTCCACGGCCCCCGGAGGAAATACCAAGCTCAGCTTGGAGACATGCAGTGCATGTGTGTGTGGGGGAGCAGTGAGTGCATGCACATGTAGGGGTGGGCTTTGCATTATGGGTACTGGCACCCGTGTGTGCTATTGCACACTTGCATTTTTGGCACCCAACAACAAAAAGGTTAGCCATCACTGTTCTAGGAGAAAGGTGGGTTTTAACTTCCTACAGTTTAGGGCATATATACAGTACAGAATGCTAATGAAGCCTCTTCTCTTCTCTTCCAGAGAGCACTCCCCTTCTTTGTCAATGCCACCTGTGGCACCACTGTCCTGGGAGCTTTTGACCCCCTGCCTGAAATTGCAGAGGTGTGCACAAGACACAAACTCTGGTTCCATGTGGATGTAAGTACAACCTGTGGAGGCAAGGACCTTCTAGAGATGTTGATGTGCGCTACCTTAACAACTCATTCAGCAGATATATTTTTTCCCAATGGAGTGTTGTGGTCCGCCAGCAGCCTGCGGAGCTGGCAGCAGAGTTGGACATTGAGAAGGTTAGGGAGGAACCTGGGCCAGTCCTGGAGTTTGGGGAAGGCTTGGACGAGGGCTCTGCATTGGAGGCAGAAAGGAGGCCAGGACCATCTGGGAGTTACGTGCTGCCTCTGGAGCCTCCAGAGTCTGACATCAGCAAGGCAGAGGAACTGGGGGAATCTGTTCCCAGTGTGCGCATGCACAGAGCTGCCAGAAGGCAAGAACAGTTAAGACAAAAGGGGCAACTCAGGAGTAAGGCTTGGAGATGATTGGCACCTCCCATAAGGAGGAGCAAAGGCACGTGATCATTTGCAGGAAGCAACTTTGTTCATTCTGGTCGGTTTCAACTCTGAAGCTCTGTTTTGACTCTATGCTTTGTTTGGCCTTGCAAAGCTAATTGGCAATTAGGTCTTTGGCAGCATTTCAAGGGAGATAAATATGGGTACTTATCAGCCTGATCCCAAAAGACTGTGGCAGACTTCTGTTGCACTCATTACAAACTATTTGTGATTCATTAAGGGCTTTGAATGAACGTAATTCACAGCCGTTGAAATAAAAAGAGGGGTTTGGGGATTAAGCGTGCGATTTTTGCTGTCTCAGGAAGCCTAGGTCAGAACATGGAGAGAAAATATCTGATGAATGGTTCAGTCACACAGAGGTAGAGCAGGCAGCTGTCTTGCTGAGTGAAGTGTGATTTATTATTCGAGTATATTTGTAGAAAAGTGGTTTTCTTGATGTTTCTGAACATACTGCCTAAGCCCAGATTTTCACATTCTGCTTGAAAACTATCTTGAGATTATTTTAGCCTTTAAAAGCTAGCCCTTTAACTGGTCTGTTACTATTTGAATTATATTCTTGTATTTTTAATTTGGGATTTCCAACCGTAGCACTGTCCCCCATGCTTTTGACTGGACTTGTTTTTAAGTAACTCGCATGGCCCTTTTTTCCTGCTGTAGGCAGCCTGGGGCGGCAGTGCTCTCTTCTCCCAAAGACACCGGCATCTTCTGGATGGGATTGAAAGGTAGATACTATGTCTTGCAGAAATGAGCTCTGAAAAGATACAGCCAAGGACTTCGACTTTGGACTTGTTCATCCTCAGTCTCCGTTTTTAATAAAAGTTTGTACATCTTAGAAATAATTTGATCATCATTTGAACAAAACTCTATGTCATAATTCATAATTCCTCTTATCCACCTTAATCTTCCTGTTAGATGTGTAGAGGGAAACCAATGGCATCTAGAACCTTCCAACTCCCAATTTTCTCATTTTTAAGTTAAATTCTCCTTGAGAAGAATTCAACAAATCGCCATATGGCAAACATTTTTGTTTAATTATTGTTTCCCTTCTGAAAAAAGACTTCTCAGGGAGACAAGCAAAAAGGAATTTTAAGAGTCAGTTTTGCCTTATAGCTGTTCCAAATTCTCTGTATGGCACATCATAAAAATGATTTTTTTAAAATCCACACTGAGCTTGATTCTATCAGGCCACAAATAACCATGTCATTCAAATGTATAAACAAATGCTGTAGTTTTTAGTCAGTGTCTTTAAGGAGTTAGAGGGATCTTGATTGGCCTCTGTGCCATTCCATTCCCTCTGAATTAGAAATACAGGGCCACAATCACAGGCTATTTGCCCTGGCAGTAGAACAAACAATAAGACAACAGTACCCTCTCCTGGCAGAGCTGCCCCAATGGCACAAAGAATATCCTTGCAGGATTCCGTTGCTTTAATTCACCAGCTGCAGATGTCTAGTATCCTGCTAGTAGGAGCGTGTGAACATGTAGGTGCAGATCAAGTATTCCTAAGTGCATGATGTTGGTGAATTACATTGCTGGAAATCCTCTGTTATTGACCCAATTCAGTTCTTTATAAAGTCAGTATCAGGCCCAAAGACTAGCTAGGCAAAGTCAGTGGAAGGAGAGGCAAACAAGACAACCATAGAGATGTGCTGGAATGACACACTGGATCAGGCACATGCACATTGAAAGCCAGAGGTGGGCTGCTGGTTAGATGCAGTGCTGGTTGGCTGGTGGATGAAGCCAGGTACTTGTGATGTGAAGTTGACAGATTGCTCATTCTGAGGGATTGACCTGAAAGAAAAGTCTTCTGCATTTCCATGGATGGGTTGACTTCTTTCAGTCTAAAAAAATCAACTTAGATGTAAATTTTATTTAATTAGTTATTAAATGTATATGCTGTCCAGCTCACTATCAAGCAACTGGGTGATTTACAGTGCACTAGATAACAGTATAAAACAAATAAAACATTAAAAACATTGGACATTGAAAGTTAAAACGTTAAAATATTGGTACTTCAGCCTCCAAAGTTTTTGCAATTGTTCAGAAAAGATAGGAAACAGTTAAGAAACATTCCTCCCTTCCTTCTTTGTCCTTAAAATCATGGGAATTACTGTTTTTAGTTGAACAATACAATGATTATAGTGGCGTTTATATGTTCTTTGACATGCTGAGACTTGTCTGTGGGAGCAGGATGGCAGTGATGCCATGGGAAATTATGATTCAAGGCCCTTTTCAAAGTCTGACCCCTGTGGTGCATGTTAAGAATCCCATTTAAATGCAAGGAGATTAGCAGATTAACAAATTGTATCAAAAGCTGATCACCTTAATTACTCTTTTGCATCTGATGTCCTGAGCTGCAGCTCAAAAAACTTGTGTCTTGTAAATCATTTTATTTGTTGAATAGGTGTCACTGGACTCCTCCTGATTTTTGGATACTCTAGACTAATATGTTTATCTGGTGATCCATAGATATGAAATATCCAAAATAAAGAGGTGCACCACTGAATTTTTACCAGTCTTCTAAATATGGTTATTAGTATTTATTTGCATATAAGGTTTATCCAATTATGAAATGCTCATTTCTATTTTCCACCCAGGGCTGATTCAGTGGCTTGGAATCCCCACAAAATGCTTATGACTGGGCTTCAGTGTTCTGCCTTCCTGGTCCGGGATAACTCTGTAGGTATTCAGTGTCTTTTCCTGAACATCAAGGATGATATTGTCCAAGTTATCTCTCCCTCCAGATAATATGGTTAGAAGAAATACAGAGCTACCCAGTCCAACTCTCTATCCAAAAGTCAAAGTAGACCTTCTTGTACATTAACTCATTCAGGATTTACTCTGATTTCTTCTGCTTAATTACTACATTACTCCTAGCTGCATTACAGGTGGAATGCCATAAAATATGGAAGTTTGATATTCCCAGTCAAGGCTAATATTATCCAACTACTTGGTATCTCTGAACAATTATCACCTATTTGCTTTGAAAATAATATTTAAATCTATTCTGAATCATAATGTCAGCGTTCCAAATATCATGCAGAATTGAATTAGAGTCCAAGGCAAAACTTTCATCAAAGTTCCAATTTAATAAGACAGACATGTTGGCATCTCTGTGGAAATCCCAATTCTAAAACTTCCTGGGATTCCACCCAGTTGAAAGTTCATGATTTTATCCTCACACCCATAAATCCATCACATGGTCCAATCTTCTTCCACGCTGGCATCTCCACTCAGCTGGTTCCGGTCATATGCAGAGATGCGGAGACAAAAGATGACCTTGGGCTTCTAGAAAAGAATGACAACAACACATTCCAC